CCTCATTTTTAAAAATTTGTTCTTTTTAGATATACATGACAGTAGAGTATTGATATACCTAGCCTAGTTATCTCATTAGATCAGAAGCCAGCTTGTCACAAGTTATGAAGGATTCATTTCTGTTTTCTGTAAAAATATCAGGATGTCTGTATGGCCTGGCCATTAGTTGATGTTGTAAAGCTGATTGGAATGCCTGCCCGTGCCCTGAACTCACCCATGTCCGGTTTTCCCTGACCATATAACAACTCTTTCCTAAACCCTAGTGACGCCTCATAAATTCTGGCCTTCCTTGGCCGGATAACGACCCTCTCTGAGTCTCTAAGATCTCCATAAATTCTGATGCCAGGGCCAGCAAAAATGTAAACTTGTGTTATGCTCCTCAGAGTGTTGTTATCTGTAACCCCCCTTTGTGTAACTTTTTGGGCTATAAAACTGGGCCACAAAGAAGCCTCGCCGCTGTCCTTGGCTCCCACGATTTTGATGGGCAAGGCAGCCCAGCCGGTCGAAATAATAAGCTTGTTTTAATTTGATTTTAATTGGAGTCAGTGGTCTTTTCTTGCGTCGTGGTCTAACAGTATATTTTGACATATTAGACATACAGGGAGTATAACTTATTCTGATTTGGATTCCAATGTTGTGGTTGTAGATGATGTGGAGGTTCACTGGTTGTGTATTCATATATGAACATAGGAGAGTTATGTCCAATTCATTCTACTGTCTTTCCTATTCCTATCCCCTCTCCCTCCCTTTCATTCTACTTTGTCTAATCCAATGAATTTCTATACTCCTCCTTCTCCTTATTGTGTATTAACATCCAGATATCAGACAGAACATTCAGCCTTTGGTTTTTTGGGATTGGCTTATTTCACTTAGCATGATAGTCTACAGCTCCATACATTTACTGAAAAAGTCATAAAATCATTTTTTTATTGATGAGTAATATTCCATTGTGTAGATATACCCCAGTTTCTTTATTCATTCATCTGTTGAAAGGTACCTAGGTGGGTTCCATAGCTTAGCTATTGTGAGTTGAGCTGCTATAAACATTGATGTGGCTGTGTCATTGTAGTATGCTGATTTTAAGTCTTTCAGGTATATATGGAGGAATGGGATAGCTGCGTCAAATGGTGGTTCCATTCCAGTTTCTTCCTTTTTCGTTTTGTTTTTAACACTAATGGAGCACAACTTCTCATTCCTCTGTCTGCACATAGTGCAGCGTCACACCAGTTGTGCAACCATACATTTTTATAGGGTAATACTGTCTGTCTCATTCCCCATCCTTCCTACCCCCACACCTCCTCTCCTACCCTCACTTCCCTCTACCCAATCCATTCTTCTCTATACCCCCGACCCTGGCCATTATGGATCAACATCTGTTTATCAGAGAAAACATTCAGCCTTTGGTTTTTGGGGATTGGTTTACTTTGCTTAGCATGACAATCTCCAGCTCCATCCATTTACCTGCAAATGCCATAATTTCATTCTTCTTTAAGGCTGAGCCATTCATCTGTTGAAGGGCATCTAGGTTGGTTCCATAGTTTAGCTATTGTGAGTTGAGCTGCTATAAACATTGATGCAGCTTCGTCACTATAATATGCTCATTTTAAGTCCTTTGGGCATACACCAAGGCAGGTGATAACTGGGTCAAGTGGTGGTTTCATTCCAAGTTTTCTGAGGAATCTCCATCAGCTTTCCAGAGTGGTTGCACCAATTTGTATTCCTACCAGCAATGCAACATGTACTTATTACAAAACTTAACATATGACACAATAATTCCACTTCTAGGCATCATTCCCAAAGAAATAAAAACATAAATCCATACAAAATTTGTGTGCAACTACTCATAATAACATTATTCATAATAGACAAAATAACTGGAAACAACACAAAAATCTATGAACTAGTGAGTGGTTATGTGTGGTAATTCTGAACAATGGAATACTAGTCATACTAAAAAAGAACAAACTATTAATATAAAGCATGAATCAATCTCAAAAACATCATGCTGTTAATAGAAGCAAAACACAAAATACTAGAAACTGTATGCTTCCATGCATATTAAATTCTAAAAAACACAAAACTAATGACACAAAGTCAATCAATCATTGGTTAAAATAAGTGATAAGAGCAAGATTTGATAGAAAATGGACATAAAGAAACTGTTAGTGTGATGGAAAGATTCTAAAACTTGATTGTGTTGGTGATGGCATGTACTTATTACTTTCTCTGTATATTAACTAAAACTCGTTGAATTATATACTTTAAAAATAGTAAATGTGGGGACTTGGGGTGTAGCTTAGTGGTAGAGCAATGGCCTAGCATGCAAGAGACCCTGGGTTCAATGCCTAATACTGAAAAAAAGGCGGGGAAGTATTATTGTTTCTAAATTATACCTAAATAAAATAAAGGAAAAGAATAAAGGAAGCGAAGGAGGAAGGTAGGAGGGAAACATGGCATAAGTTTAACTGTAAAGAAACATCACACTCAGGTTGAAGTTCCAAATACAAAATGAAAGAATCACATTCTTTAAATTTTTCAAGTACTTAAGAACCAGAGAAAAATGAGGAAGTGTTCTAGGTTAAAGAAGACTTCTAAAATATGTTAATTAAAAGTAACGTGGATTCCTGGATGGAATTCTGGACCAAAAGGAAAAGCAGACAGTATCATATTTTGTAACACATAGATGGAGCCACTTCATGATAGTGAGGATTGCATGGTGGTTATACAGGAAAAATGTCTAACTTTGAAAAGAAGCATGCTGGACTACAGTAGTACCCCTCTCCAAAGTTTCTCTCTCCGTGGTTTCAGTCAACCATATATAGATAGATGGATAGATTGATAGATAGATTATGGCCTAGAATGCAAGAGACTATATATATATATAGATAGATAGATAGATAGATAGATAGATATAGATAGATAGATAGATATATACATACATGTATATGTGTGTGTATGTGTATGTGTGTATGTATGTGTATATATATATTTTTTTTTCCTGAAAATAGTAAACAGAAATTTCCAGAAAACAAATTCAAAGGTTTAAATTGATGAGTAGCATGATAGAATCTCACACTGCCCCACTCAGGATGCAAATAATTCATTTGCCCATTACCTCCATGCTGGATATGCTACCTGGCCATTAGCCACTTAGCAGTCAACTCAGTTATCAGAGTAACTGTCTGGGTATCACAAAAAGAAAAGTGAATACAGTATAACATGTTACTTTGAGCAAGAGAGAAAGAAAACATATATATTACTATAATTTTTCCATTTTACTATTTATTAATGTTTTTAATCTCTTACTCTGGCTAATTTAAAAATTAAACTTCATTGTAGATATGCATGTAAGGAAAAAAATAGTATAAATAGAGTTCAGTAATACTCATGGTTTCAGGCATTTGCTGGAAATCTTGGAACACATTCCCCATGGATATATGGAACTACCATAAGTTAGTGCTAATAAGGAATCATATCCAAAACAAAGACTATATGTGCAAATAAACAGAAGGTAAAGGAGTAAGTATGGTAAAATTCTAAAAGCTCGAGCCACCAGCAGAAGTTTTTTGTATTTGATGTCCTTTGTGTAATTTTAAAATGATTTCAGGATTGTTTAAAATGCAACTAAAATCATACATATATCAATTGACATACAAATCAAGAACTATACCATTTCATAAATGAAAGACTCAATATTATCACTACACTGAGTTGGTAAATCATATGAAGTTAGTTAAGCGATGGAGCTCAAACATTTATGGCCAACCACTTGTTCAAAATCTTCAATGGCTCCTCATTACCCACCCAATAATGAAATTATATGGAGATAATGCTTGTAAAGCATCTTACATAGTGGGAATTAAAAATCAATTAGTGTCCTTTTAAAATTCACATTCAGATATTTAAAGGCTTTCATAATGTGACCACAATATTTCTTTTCCTTCCTTTTAAGTTTATTTGAGCATTCAATATACATTTATTGAATGTATTCTCTGCCCCATCCACATTAGTAGAGTTATTATATAACAGCAATATATTACTCCCTTTTGGTGCTTACATAAAACCATTATCCAGTCAAACTTGTCATTCACCATTCTGAAACAAGCCTTTGTAAAACAGAACACTTATTCATTCATTCATTTCCTTACTCTGTATATACTCATCGACTTCATCCCTAGCTATCAGAACTGTACTTAAATTAGGTCAAATCTCTCTCTTGCAAGAAACTTGTTATAATCTTAAGACAAACTGATGACTACTCATTTATTCTTCTCAAATGGTTCTTTTCTCATAAAACCTTTTCCTTGCAGTTATTTAGACACAGGATTTGATAGCAAAAAGGAGATCAGGTTTGTCAGATTCCGGTGTCATCAGTATAAGCAAGCTAATAAAAGACCTAGATGTAATGGGAGTGATGAGAATTAGGGAAGAGAATGCATGTCTAAAGACTCAACTTCACCTTTTTCAAACATCTGGACAAAAATTAACTTACTAGTCATCTCCAGTATAGACTACCTGAAGTCCCATTACTCTCCCTTACTTTACAGATGAAGAAAAAAAAAATTCAAATAGAAAGTGGCTTAGCCAGAGTGTCTCAAAATTTGGAGGCAGAAGCTGAAACAAGCTGGCAATTGCACATACACAGTTTTTAATTTCAGTTTCCAAGAGATTCCACCTAGAACTTAAAAACTGGTAGCCAAACCACATTAAATGACAACAACATCCCTTCTCCAACAGGTTATTTGGAGATGAGAGCCCTACCACTCCCAAATTATAGGATGGATTATGTCAATCATGTCCATCAGGAAGTGAAGCAATAACCCAAACAGCTTTGATTCCAATCATACTTTGAGAACAAGTCTAAGAAAACTTCTTCACTCTGGCCCACAATATGACACCCAGCACACACCCTTCTTTTCTCTCCCTCCCCACCAAACCTGCATCTTTAGTCCACCTGACCACTTCTATTAACCAGAATGATCCCAACCCATTGGGCTCACCTTGAGTGAAGATCAGCATGCTGAAGAAAAACAGGAAGCAGCGAATGCTGTTAAAATGCTCACAGCAGGGGACAACAATACAACCAATGCCACAGGGCCCTTCCTTAACATGATCCGAGTCTGGTGATTTTTTGGGAGGAGATTTCGCCTTTTTCTTCTGAGGAGCTCTGTTAAACTTCGTAAAGGCCATTGGCAACATTGTCAGGTACGGGGAAATTTTCTTGCGATTTCCTAAAGTCTCAACTTCCTCGTCCTTAGAAGTCCTCCTGCCCGATACAGTCTCCAGCTCCACATTCTCTACGGCTTCCTTCATGGTCTCTAGGTGCCCTGCTGGGACCTGGGGCAAGGCTTACCTGGGTGTATCTCCTTAAAAAGTCTTGCCAGCGCCCGAACGAACCCCAAACCCCAAACCCCAAACCCACCCCACCTGGGTGGGAGGACTAGGAGGCCTGAGGCGCCTGCGCATAAGGCTCGGACCAGAACGTTCCTCCTCCTTGGGCTGGAGGCAAACGTCTGCAGAGGAGTTGACAGTTGCCCTGGGAGACTTCCAAGGCTGTTTTTTCCTTCTTTGCTCCCACTTGAGGAAGAAAAACAAAAATAAAAATAAAGCTAGAACTAGACTCTGAAAACTACTAACACAGGGAGTACTAGATAATGAAGTCAAAAGATTCCAGTTCTTAATACTCACTTGGAAGCAGTTGAAACAGTGAGTATGTCCCCAATTTCCCCCTATTTACTTGCTTGTAGTGTCTTTCCAATAGGACCATCTTGAAACAAACTGAAATTTGCTGAAGGATCAGAAAGGAAAAAAAAAAAATCAGTAGACATGGGAGAAGGTACTTCTACCACAATAAAAGTCTTGGAAGAACACAGAGATCAACAATGTACCAACACTGTCCTTAAATGAAAGGTTTTACACATAGAAATTATTGTCCTAGCACTCTATCCCCCACAAAACACCAGAAAAGATTATTAGCTTTCTTCCTAAATGAAGGACTGGGACCCAGAGCATGATTTACTTTCCCTGGTGTAAAAAATCTTATTGAGTTTATTAGCAGGTTATTAAACTGGGTTTTGTTTTTGTTTTTCATATGAAAACATAACTTCTTAATGGCTTCATTTTCTTGGGCTGAAATAAAATCTGTTTAAGCCATATGTGTGGAGAAGGTGACTTTCCAGGAGAGATAAAACTATATTCTCCAATGAGTTACACATGTTGCCAAAAACAATCTAACTCTCCAACAAATTTTTGGCAACTCAGAAAGTTCTAGCATGGCAGATCTGGAGAAAAATCACTAAGCACCAACTCAATCTGTTAGAAAAAAAAAAAGTATAATTCTGCCTTTCTTGGGAACAAAAATTTTATTAATGGCAGAAATGGCAACAGCCTCTGGGTAGACATATTGGCAGAGTTAATTAAAATATTGTAGCCCTCGATCAGACATAAATGAGACATAAAGCAATGAGTGTAAAATGAGAAATAAAGCAACATATTGATGAGGCTTTCAACTGAGCCTTTTATTTGGGTGACTGAGTTTTCCATTTCAAATATTTGTTTGATTCTTCTTCTGAATTTCTATTGAATTGTTCTTTCATGTTGTGCATTGTGTTCCTAAATTTATTCAGTTTATTTGCATCCTCTTGGAATTCATTGAAATTTTTAAAAAATCATTATTTTGGATTCTTGTCCAGCATTTTGTACAATTTGCTACCCTTGGAATCAGAGGACATTCTGAAAGGAAATAATCCAGACACAGAAAGAGAAACATAGCATGTTCTCACTCACATGTGGAGGGTAAAAAATTATCTCAAAGATGAAAGAATAGCTATTAGTAGAAACTAGGAAAAGTAGGAGGTTGAATACTGAGGAACAAAATAAAGTTAAGTAGATGGAATAAGTACTAGTATTTTGCAGCACTGTAAAGTGATTGTACTTTACAATACCCTATTTCAAATTATGAAAAACTAGAAGAAGTTTGAATTTGCCAAACACAAAGAAATGATAAATGTATAAGGAGTTATAAATGGTAATCACTCTGATTTGATAATTACATGTTGTATACATGTACTAAATCATTCTGTAACATAAATATGGAGAATCAGTATGTGTCGATTAGAAAATATGAAAAATTTAAATGAGAAATTTTGAATTCTGTATTGATGTAAACCAGTGGTTCTTGACCAGGAACAATTTTTCTCTCCAGGCATCATTTGCCTATCTCTAGAGACACTTCATTTTTAGAACTCATGGCAAAGGGCTAGAATGTATCAAAACATCCAGGAATACACAGAGCCAAATTTGAAAGTTATTGTCTAATTTCAAAGTTCATTCTTATCCTACTATGTAATGTTGAAAATAAAATTTGTTTCTAAATTCAACTATTCCATAATATTTTCTCACCTTCACTGTCATTAAGTCTTAATAAGAAAGGAATGCAAACAAATACTAAAATGCCTTTTCCACTAACCTGTCTTTAGGACATTGGGAAGTCCCATAATTGTATAGCACTTAAAAAGAGGTAAGAATATTACTCTTAATTGGAGTTGATTCTTTTTTTTCCCCTTCTTTTCTTTTCTTTTTTAATTAGCTACACAAGACATTACAATGATCTTGATCTTGGCAATTCATACATTTGAATCAATTGGGGTATAATTTCTCATTTTTCTGATTGTACAGATTGCAGAATCACACTGGTTATATATATATAGCAATCATAATGTCTATTCTATTCTGCTGCCCTTCCTATCCCCCTGGAGTTGATTCTTGAAGCATGATGTTGAAACAAAAATAAGGCCATCCCCAGAGAGGGCTTCATATTTAGAAGCAGATTACACTGTAGCCTACTAGTATTAGAGGATTTGTAACTGATGTATCAATACATTAAAGGCTCCAAAATACATTTTTAGGGACTTTGGGAGCTGACAGTAATTCTAAAGCTAGAGAGGAGAATGTAAGACCCATTGTTTTTTGTATATTCCTTGACTGATTTGCACCAATATCCATTCAGTTAGAAGTATAGTAACGATCATTTGGTTTCTTCCGGACCTTCTAAGATTTTTTCAGATCTGGCAATAGAAACGGATTTCCAATATTGGAATCAGAGTGGCAATCACTTATTTTATACTGAGACTCTGCATGATCTTTTATTTGATTAAATGATTTCATAGGTTAAAAACTTTGGAAACTACTATTTTCAGGGTAAACCCTTCAGGATTCTTCATCTTTGAATAATACATTTTAATAAACTTTAATATTTCCTCCTTCATCTTTGTGACCCAGTTATATACTATATTTATTGTGACTCCCGAAATACTTCATGTTACCATTTTGCTTTGACCACACATCTCTATGGAAGCAATCAACTATGCATGTGGGCGGGGGGTGAGAGAGAGAGAGAGAGAGAGAGAGAGAGAGAGAGAGAGATGTCTGAGAAACTCTGTGGAAACTACTACTACTACTAAAGAAATATTTAAAGGGGTATATTTCATATTTGAACATATTTTTGAGGTGTAGATAAAAACAGAAGTATTATGTGAGGATTGGTGTATGCTGGAAAAGTTGTGCCAAGAACAAACTAAATCATGTAAGTAGAAGATGTTAATAATCATCACTTTACCCAGAAATAGTTGACTTCCGAGTCATGATTCTAGAAATATCCTTCTGCCCTTTAATATCTGCAGATATCTAAATTCTGAACTGCATTGCTTAACCAGGTAGCACTTGTACTTAATTGAGCATACTGACAGAGATGATCTCCCTCCCTCAATATCTGCTTTGTTTCTTCTTGACCTTTTACTTGCTCCAAAGTCACTTGAGAAATCCATTACACAAGGAAACAATTGAATGACCATGTTGCTGTATTTTTAATATTTGATAATGTTTAAAATATTTTTGTAAAAAACTGGTGTGCTCTCTTAAGAAAGTTTGGAAATTCCTTCTGGAAGCAACAAGCAGCAGTCATAAAATAATACATCCTTATCCAGGTAAGAAGGAGCCTAAGTTAGAAGGTCACAGAATTGCATTTGTAATGTTGTTTAACAACATAACTGCATCCTGTTGGAAGGATGAGGTCTTAGGGAAATTTGACTTTTTTAAGAAAGATATGCCACAAAAAGGAGGGGTGATATCAAAAAGAAATAATAAATGACCCCTTACCAAGTTCTTTTCTATTTTAGGTAGAAAGAGACCTTTGGTATATTTATGTCTCTATGAAATCAAAGCTTTGGAGCAGTGCTATTAAATAGAAATAAAATGTCAGGGAATAACATCAGCAAGACAGAAGAATATGAGGTTCAAGCCCTCATCCTGACACAGAAACACCAATCTGACAATTAACTATGAATAAAAATACCTTTGTGGAAGACCTAGAAGTCAACTAAGAGATTACAGTACTCTTCATTGAGAAAAATATTGAGAATGGATACATTGGGTAAGAGAAGCAGCCTCACTTTACTCATGTCAAGCCTCTCAGAGGCATTTGGCAAATCTTGATGCTGAGAGAAATCTCCTGAATCCAACATCTCCCACAGGGTAAAATAATAGCAAGTGAGTACCTGGCTTCCCCAACCTTACCAGACACTACCCAGGAGACCTCATTCTGTCTTGCATCATGCAGAACACTGAGGGGATTAACATGACTAAGTCACCTGGGGACAACTAGGATTATGGAGAAGTGGGAGGAACCCACAGCAAAAACAACCAGACATAGGTCCTGGTAATCAGCTCATGAACTCCAACAATAGACCACTTGTGAACTCCATAGCATGACTCACCTATGTACTCAATCAACCAGCTGACATGCACTCCCAGAATCCCACACCATAACGGTTGGTGCCCCAAATGTCCCAATGCATAGAACATTGATGATCCATGCCGGCATCCACAAATAGTACATAGATTTCAATTGTAGGAGCAGATCTTTGCACAAGCTCAACTTTGCTAAAATAGACAAAGGTACAGTACCTTGAGTACCTCAGTGAACTACTTGAAGGAAAATAAACAGGAAGCTCTCAGCACTAGTCTTGCATTTAGGGAGCAAGAGGAGGTACACTGACCTCTAGCCAAATTCAGTGACATTTTTTTTTTCTCTCTCCTGAAACCAATTAGTAAAGAATAGAGGTAGTGGGCTGGGATTGTAGCTCAGTGGTAGAGTGCAAGCCTAGTATGTGTGAGGCACTAGGTTTGATTCTCAGCACCACATATAAGTAAGTAAATAAATAAAGTTTTATCAACAACTAAAAAAAATATATTTAAAAAAGAATAGAGGTGGTGATTGTTTCTACAAATATGAAGACAGGAAAATGGGACTCAAA